CCTTTTTTTTTGTGTGTGTGTGTGTGAGTGTGACGCAACCAGGCATAATATGATAGTTGATCTGCATCTTCCTTCTCCGTATGGTATATCAAATAAATCGCACTCTCGCGGGGAGAAGCACGCAATGAGCCTGGTATCGCAGGCAAGATGGAAATTTGGCAGCTTATTCTGCCAGGTTTGGCAGATTATCTATTCTAGGTGCTACTAGTGATACTCTGGTATGAGTATATGTTTATATTGATATATAACATGATGTAAAAACAAACTCCCAAGGACATAGCGTGAATTCTTCAAATATGGCCATCAATGCTTCCAAATATCCCCTGATCATTATATACTTCTACGACGCATGACTGATATACTATATCTGGCGCTGTTCCACCCCCAGTTTCTTTAATCCTCTTTCACCAGCGTTGCCATATCGAGTGTGGTGGTATTATCTTATTTTCCCTCGATAATTGCACCTACGTTCAATGCCAATAACCGTTTCCACTGGATTTGCTATATCTATTAATCCTGCTACTTACTAAATTTTCTGGATCTGCTCAGGGTAATATATTAGAGATATTTCAACTCAGCCCAGCATATCCATCAAAAGCCGCTGTTTCTGAATTCCTTATTCTACCGCCCCCTATCAACTCTGTAATTTCCATTATATCTACCCCTACCTGATCTACTAACAAGGACTGTCAATACTTAGACTCAAAAATGTCACTCTTCAAAAATATCTATTCCAGCCCAAATCAAACGAGCGAGCAAGTATACTCAGATAAGGCGAAGATAAACACACACAAGTATAAATTAACAACACCCCGAACAATCACCCATAACTCCCATTAAACAACATCTAAATACGAAAATCATACATAGGAGAAAACACAGTAAACACCCAAAAGAACCCTAGAGCGCAGATCCCCACCCAATTTTCGAGACCGATCTGGGGCGGACAAAATCCCTCATCATCTACCAGTAGTCCAGTACGAATAAAAAATTTCCACCTACAAGATCCACAAGTGCAGCCTTAGGCCCCCCCTAATATACTTAAGACAAGATGATTAATCGGCGAAGTCCACATGGGATCGATATAGTCATTTAGTCATTTATATCAGATGCTATTATGCTAAGCTAAGTGGTGGCTAGGTGATCGGCGAGGTTTAATTACCATGCTTAATTTATGTGAAACGGGGGTGATGTCAGTTGTTGGTTTGGTTTTTGTTTGCTTCGATCTTTGATCTTCGATCTATGTTTTGATCGGATGTTGGGATTATTGCGTGCTTGGTTTATTTGCCCTGTGGAAGTGGGTGTACTCTTTAGGCTTGGAAGTGTGTGTTTGGACTTTTGGGGGAAGGGGGGGGGGGTGTGTTTCTGTGTATCTTTGGCTTGGGGATGATTGTTATCTACTGCCATTTCTCCTTATTTTTTACTGTGGAAATTTGCAAGAGTGTGCTTTATGCTTGTGTGATACATGTAAATGATGCGTTTCTTTTCCGGTTTTTTTTTTTTTTTTCTTTCTTGTCCTGGAAAAATAGATATGGGTGTTGTGTTTGTTTGTAAGGAAGTATATTCGTTGCTAAAAGTTCCTATGTAATGATACTGCGCGTCTGATTATAGCCATCCTGTCCAGACTCAGAAACAGACGACGAAACCAATTGCTAATGCAAAAAGCCTCCAAAATTCATAAACTAGAAGAGTATCGATAGCCCCAGTATCGAAAGTAATGAGAAAGACCAGTGGCAAGAACCTCCAGAATCATACATCCATCATCTTGCAACTACCACCCTCACATACGAGTATATGGTTTTTCGCCGGTTCGGTCGGCTTCAAGTCCTTGTATAGCTTATTCCGAGTCCGCAACCAGAATGACTGATTGCCTACGAAGTCTCCCACGTGAGAGGGACGGATGTCAATGAGGGAAACGGTGGTCGTGGAGGTTGATATCGCCTGACCAGCTTCTGCACGAAGTCTCTGCACAATGAGTTCGCGCACGGATGTTGGCTCGTCGGATGTGGGCTCGTCGGATGTGGGCTCGTCGGAGTTGCTGTTAAGACGGTTTGACGATCCGGGCCCGGCCTGAGGAAGAAGTGTCGTCGAGAGAACGCCTGTGAAGTTTCGCGAGCCAGCTTCCAGTCCGGCAATTGCATCAAGCAGTCCGACAAAGAGGAATGGGTGCTGCAGGATCTCGACCGCGAAAGAGTGACATGTTTGGCGACAGAGCAGTCGGTAATCATCGTCCTCAAGCAGGTTGGCGAGGCGCAACAAGTTGCGCGCAATAACTCCGTTAACAGATGGAGTGGCCGATTCAGTTCCGGTCTTTAAACGAAGAAGAGGACCCGGCATTTCTGATGTCATGTTGGACGGCGTACTATAGTAACCTGCCGGAGTCGATCCCACATATGCAAGGAAATTGTCGTTGAGATATTCTGGTAGTATCGTTAGTACCTATACGATGAGGGCTCGACAGCAACACCTACTCTGAAGCTGCTCTGCGAACTGCAGATAGCTGTCATCAAATGTTGCCTCATACATATCCAACAAGCCGCTGATCAGATAAGCGTAGTCGTCAGCAAAGCCTGGCGTATCACCTCTGCCACCATCACGGTATATACGCCACAGTTGCCCGGTTTCTTTATCAAAGAGATCATTCTTGATAAAGCTAATCGCTTTTGCCGCTGCCTCCCTGCACTGTACTGCTTTGGAACTTTCAATACGCTCAAACAGAGCACTGCATTTGGCGAGTGCCCCAATGGCTAGCCCGTTCCAGGCGACAATGATCTTGTCATCCAGATCAGGGCGGACTCGAGTTCGTTCCCGATACTCGCGCAGTTTCTGCTTCGCCGAACGAATGATTCTTACCACTTCTTCTTCCCCTAACCCAAATTCCTTTGCTAGTTTGCTCGGGGTTACCTGTACGGAAAGCACATTCTGGTTCATAAATTCGTCGTGTGGATCATTCTCGGGGGAGATATTACCGTCAGGGTGCACACTCCAGTGGCGAGCACAAACCCCAGCATCCCGTTGGCCGAGCACTTGTGTCAGTTCTTTCAATGTCCAGACATAAAATGCTCCCTCGCGTTTCTCCGTGTCATTCGGTGACGGCAGGCTGTCCGCGTCTTCCGAAGAGTGAAAAGCGCCAGTGGGTGACTGAATAGGAGCGGTGGTCAGGTAAGTAGCTAAATCATACACGGCGCCCAGCAGTTCGGGATTGTGTGTTATCTTGAATGCATCCACATATACATCCAAGAGTTGTGCCTGGTCATAAAGCATCTTTTCAAAATGAGGTAAACTCCAATCAGCAGTGACACTGTATCTTGCGAAGCCATGTCCAATATGATCACGGATGCCACCACGTGCCATACTAATAAGGGTATGCACTGCCATGGCAGTTGCTTTCTCACATTCTTCTTGACCAACAACATCCGACACCGCGTTTGGGTACGCCCCGAGCCGGAGTAGAAAGCTGAGGTTGGCAGGGGTTGGGAACTTCGGTGCTCTAGAAAAACCTCCATGTACAGAATCATAGCGAGTCACAAAATGTTGATAAGCTTCTTCCAGGAGTTCAATATCCAGCTCCTCATCTGCTTCCTTGTCTCCTTGGTACGAATGTGTTCCTTCTTCGGCGAACTCCCTGAGTTGCTTTGTGATCTCCTTCGCACTATCGAGACACCGTTGCTGTTGGGTCTGCCAAACTTCGCGTAGCTTTTCCAGAATATCTAAGAAACCGATAGTCTCATTACCTAGTAGCGTCGTCGAATTGGGTCCAGGCCAGTAGGTACCGCCGAAGACCGGTTCTAGATCCGGAGTCAGGAATACGTTCAACGGCCAACCACCAGAGCCCGTGGTAGCTTGTACATAGTTCATGTAGATATCGTCAATGTCCGGCCGCTCCTCACGGTCCACCTTGATTGGGATGAACGATTCATTCAAGATGGTAGCCACCTCCGGCGACATGAAGGATTCCTTTTCCATGACATGACACCAGTGACAAGCCGAGTAGCCGATACTGAGAAACACCAGTCGGTTATAGCGTCTGGCGAGATTGATCGCTTCTGCATCCCAGAGTTGCCAGGCGACTGGGTTATTCATGTGGGCTCTAACATACGGTGACCGGCTGTCACGCAATCGGTTGACCAGCTTCGGTCCCGCATCGGTTGCGCCATGATGAAGATGCGCATGCAAGCCTGATGGGGCCGCCATCTTGCGCCAATATGATCTCCGCGGGAAAGTGAACGACTGCTGGTGAGTAGTACACCGCCTGCTGTAGCGTAAAGACACCCCGGTCCAGCCGCGCGTCTGAGGGGCACCGTGAGCGACTAGGTTCCAGCGAATATTTGCACAGTAAATAGCCCGGAGGCTAGTCTAATGATGATCGAGACTCTGTATGCACACGTGGACGATAAGGGTAACAAAGGAGGGGAAAATCAAGAAAGGTACAAGACGCGGAGAAAGAGAATACGAGATGATGGCCTTTCGATAGGCTGACCCGCATCCGGGAGATCGTCCACCGTCCTGCGTCATCCATGCATCAAAGCGTGGCACGTGACTGGGGTAGATTAGTCATCGGTATCAAACAACAACAACAACAACAACAACAACAACAACAACAACAACAACAACAACAACAGACCATGCAAACAATGGGACGAGATATCTGCTGCGAGAAAGTACAAGAATGGACCCATTTTCAAAGTATGAATAGAAGGGCTATCGAGGTCAGTATGATTATGTCCGAGGATAATATATCTTCACTAGGAACTTGGTATGGATAGAAATAAAACAGAATTATCACTTGTATCTAGTCCCGCGTCTTCGAGGGTGGATTGCTAGCTCATGGTCAGAAATAGCTAGCAAATTCTGAAGCAAACTAGCCTATAAGTATTTAAATTTCGGAAACTGAGATATTTCCTAAGAACATTAGTAGTCAACCCGTCTCCGGAGGCGCACCCCAATTCTCACCCAGAACCGCGTACTCGTCCATACTGCTTAACAACTGTCTGTTATGTTTATTTCCCACCAGCCTCTTCAGCCTGCTCAGCTTCCCGAGCAGACGTCCTCTCCTTCCGTAGCTGCCTGGAATAAGAGACCCCAAACCCATGTTCAAACACCTCCCTAATCTCCTCCAGGGTCAATCCCGAAACCTCGGGATAAAAGAAATAGATCAAGATATATCCAATCCCACAAATAGCGGCATAGAGACCAAATGCTCCACTGGGCATAATCCCCTTCATCATACTCAAAAAGGTACTCGAGACAATTATATTAGCCGCCCAGCAGGAGCAGGCGAGCCACATTGTCCCGACGGCGGGGACTTCCATTGGGAAGAGATCGGTGTTCATCCACGCGGTGTTTCCCATAGAGACACCGTAGCAGAAGACGAACCAGATAATGTATACGAGAACGACGATAGCAGCGGTGCTGACACTGTCGGTTTCGAGTTCGAGAGTTGATATATTTACAGGGATAAAACTGAATGCGATAGCAACGGCGACAAGGCCAGCACACATTCCCCAGGAGGTTAGGAGAACGATACGGCGGCGGCCGATGGGGTCGACGGTCATCATATTAACCCAGGACATGATGAAATTTGTCCCTGAGACGACGAGGCCGACGGCGACAGGATTAGAGAAGCCGACGAGGTCAAAGAGGGTCGCAGAGTAATACATAAGGGTATTAAAGCCGGACATTTGTGCAATCACAATAAATCCACATGCGCAGATAAGAGTACGGAAATAGGCTGGCTTTATATGCAGCATTTTGATTTGGCCCAGCGGCTTGAGTCCTTGTTAAGTTCTTTCGATTCATCGCAGACCGCGCTGATTAGTCTCACCTTTGACCGGATTTGCTCGTCCGAGGCGTCTTTGTAGAATTATCGGATAACAACCTCTGCTTCTTGCATTTTACCATGGTAGATGAGCTGACGGGGCGACTCGGGACAAAAAGGAAGGAGGCACGCGAGGATAATTGACGGGAAGGCCCCAAGGCCAACCATATACCTCCATCCAGATGAAACGTGTGCGAATGCCGCACCCAGGCCATAGGACACAACTTGTCCGCCGGTAATCGACATGTTATTAAGGCCGATTAGACGGCCTCTTGCCTTGGTAGGCGCGATCTCTGCGATATACAGGGGAACAATCATGGAGGCAGAGCCGACGCCCAAGCCAACGACAAGCCGGCCAACAGCCATCTGCACAATGCTGTATGCTGCTCCTTGGAGGATAGCACCGATGGTAAACAGAAAGCAGCCGACATAGATGGCGGGTTTTCTGCCATACTAATTCAATGAGCATAAGAAGCAATTAACGCGTGGGGAATGTACCTTGTCGGCGGTAACTCCGGCGATGATTGCGCCGATAAAAGAACCACCAGCGCAGAGACTGGTAATTAGTTCTTTTTCACTGTCCGATGTTGGGCAGCCATCAAGGTCGTCACCTAGGTAGACAAATACAGCAGAAATGATTCCTGTATCGTAACCGAATAAACCACCGGCAATAGAAGCTGTGAGTGCAACCAGCCACACAAACCAACTCGTGGCTATGTCTTCAATACTGTCATCGTGCGCATTATTCCGGGCATCATACTCGACACGAACCGAGTCGGGCTTCTCGTCATGTTCGAGGACAGTCATCATAAGGGTAGGGGATTGTTCGAGACTTCCGTGTCACAAGTCATACTATGACAGTCAACGAAGGGATAGCTAGGGTTAAAAACGGGCAGCTCTATACTGGCTGGATATGAGCATCCACGCGTCGGATCAAGACTCGGCGATTCAACAAGCCATTGGGGCTAAAGCCGATATTGCGGGGAACGATTGCATACCCCAGAAACCCCAGGATCCACTGTCACACAGGGCAATATTACCCCGGCAAGTAAGGCCATGGCATGAGGTGTGAATTACCTGCCAATGTCATATCAATAGCCAGCGTGATCTTGCAGATTCCGCTGCTGAGGGTGGGAGTGGAAGAATTTAGTGAGGGAAGGAATCCCCGATAGGCAACTTCACCCGGTACCAGCCCCTTCTCCACTGGAAGAAGTTTCAAACCAGGCGGGTTGGATTATGTATCTCGACAAGCATGAATCTAAGAATTTGAAATATGCATGCCCAATATGGCAAGTATTGCTTCATCCCGTCTGAACGTGGAGATTTAGCCAACAACATCCTCAAAACTCGTCGGTATAATACTCACCTCCTCCCTCAGTATGAAATGGAACCCATAGTCGACATTTTTTTATCTCTCTCTTACTAGACCAGATCCTGTCAGAAAAAATGTACATGGTCCCAGTTTTCATCTTGGGGGCTATCCTCATTACCCTCTACCATCTCCTCAAACCCCTCATCGATTACACTCTAGACTGTAAAGGCCTCCGCAAATATCCCGCTTATAACACACTCTGCGCCCTGACAAACCTTGGCTGGTGTGTCGAAACGTGGCGCGGCGGAATACGGTCAAAGAAGCTGAGCGATATGCACAAGGTCCACCCTGTGATCCGTATCGGACCGAACTCACTCTCATACGGCCATCCGGGTGCATACAATGATATCTACGGCCACGGCACAAAGTGTCTCAAGGATACCTTCTACCAGACAGAAAAGACAACCCACTTCAATCTCGGGAATGTGATCGACAAGGCTGACCATACCCGGAAGCGCAAGATGTTGGCTAGTGCCTTTGCGACGAAGAATCTGGAAGACTGGGAGGATAAAATCGCCCACAAGGTGAAGCAGTGTATTGCTGCCTGTGACAAGCATTGTACGGCACCTTTAGTGGAAGGATCCGATCCGGATCCAAAGGATTCGAATTTTGACTTTAGGGCTTGGTCGAACTTCTTCACAATCGATGCTATCGGAGAGCTTGCCCTATCGGAGGACTTAGGACTTCTCACCGCGGGAAATGACTTGGTCACTGCCGCGGGCCGTGATGGGAAAGCATATCAAGCGCCATACCGGGACTGTCTACACGCGTCGAAAATCGCACATACTAGGATTGCCTTTGCAGATAAATGGTACCATATCAACAGCAGATACACCACGCGACTTTTAGCATCCTACCGCAAGTTGTGGGAATTCAATGATGGATGGAGTGATATTGTGAACTACCATGTTCAAAAGCGTCTGGGCCGCTACAGAGCGGGCGAAAAGCTCGACGATATCTTCCAATATTTGCTGCACAACAAGAGCGGTGAGCCTTATAGCCTTGAATGGGGAGAGATTGCCGCGGAGAGCGCTGTGATACTTGATGCCGGATCCGCCACGACCGCGATAGCCCTGAATAATGTGATTTACTGGCTAATTCGGAACCCGAGGTGTCTTGCGAAATTAAGAAACGAAGTTGACGAAGCTCTTGACGACAGCGATACTATTGCACCGCATGATAAAGTCAAGAATCTCCCCTACCTACGCGCCTGTCTGGACGAAGGTCTCCGCATCACACCCCCATTCAGCTATAACCTCCCCCGACGAACACCCGCCGAAGGGGCTTACATTCTCGGTGAATTTATTCCCGGGAACACGACAGTATCCATGTCTTCTTACGTCGCCCACCGCGACGAAGAGGCCTTTCCAGATGCAGAAAACTATATACCCGAGCGATGGCTAGACGGAAAACGCAAGGATATTCAGTCGAGTTTTGTACCGTTCAGTGCTGGGTCGAGGGCTTGTATTGGACGGAATCTGAGTTACATGGAGCAGACGGTTATGGTGGCGACCCTTGTGAGGAGGTATGAGTTTGCGCTTCCTACTCCGAACTGGGAGCAGGAGAGAATTGAGGTGACGAATCTATTGCCAGGGCCGTTGCCGTTGAAAATTTGGAGGAGGACAACAGACAGTAAGAAGGATACGTGATAGTTAGATCACTAATCCACTTTTGTTCGTTGCTCTAAGTCCATTGCGATAGATAGGAAAAGAATTATTTTTTCTTTCTTTCTTTTCTTTTTTATATGTTAGCCCTCCCAAGCCTCCTTCAAACTCTGTGCAATCCCACCTGTAGGCCACGCATACTCTACCTCTGTAACCCTTAAAAGCCCCAAAACCGCCTGCCTCTCACTTGGTTCGGTGATACACTCCCCACAAGCCTTGATGGCCATCGTCGCATCTACTAACACACTAGGCGCCCGGCGATTCCACAGCGCTATCCCGCAGAGCTTCATCACGGTTTCTCTCATTACGGCCCGAACTTGCATCATCGCGGCCATATGCCCGTGGCCAAGCTTGGGGATTGTGGGGTTGAAGACTGCTAAAAGCATTTTTGCGAGATGGAGGTGGGAGATGGCTGTTGCGTGGCAGCCATCTCCGTACCAGATTTCTGGGAACACATCCCCAGAACTTTCGAGGGGGGATCTGGTGTAGATTGGTTCGAAGCAGGGTGGGAGATGAGCGTGGAGATCCTCCGCGTAGCGGGTTAAGTCGTTCCACCTGTTCACATCGGTGGATGGCAAATGATCTGTCTCTGAGCTCCCGTAGCAGTATTCCAGCACGTCGGCGCAGAAGAGAACAAGCCGATCAGCCCATGTTCCGTCCCCGGCTGGAGTGAAGGAACGGAGGGAAGACCACCGGGAAAGAGGGAGGGTGAAAGGGCGTTGGGTCATAAAAGATTTATAGAGTTCTTGTCTGAAGGCGATGGAGAGGCAGGCGCGGAGGAGGGTAGTTGATTGGGTGTGTGTAATTGCTGGGGGTGTGGTTGGTGAGGTGTTTGAGACTAGTGAAAAGTGATGATGATGATGTTTGTGATAGGTTTCTACAAGGCTACAGGGGAATGCATCTGGTGATGGGAGTTGGGCATTGACGAAGATTTTGAGCACACGAAGGAGGACACCTTTATCAGTGTTGTTCTCTAATGGGGAGTCGATCTCCTCGTAGAATCTTAGCACGATAGCCGCGGCGAGGAGGTCCTCGCTGTTTATTCGAGATAGGTCTCCGCTTAGACTGAGGAGGGATCTTATGCAGTTATCGTGGTAATGGAGGGCTGTGGATTTATTGAGATTCGGGATGACTAGGCCGTTCCAGGTGTAACCTCCTGTCGGGGATTTGAATTTGAGGGAGGTGGTGAGGTGGCGTGCGGAGGCCGTTAGGATGGCTTGTAGGAGGGGCGGGCAGTTACGGGCTCGGTGGGGAAGGACACGGGCGAAGTGCCGGTCTGGGTCGCAGATGTCGAACCAGGGGCAAATTTCTTCAATGAAGTAGCGGAGTAGGGTGGCTTCGAGGCGGAGGGTTACGTGATCTTCGCCTATATTGGTGGGAAGGCTGCTGGTGAGTTGATGGATGTTTGGTTGGTGGGTATGAAATGATTCGGAGGTCAGGCCGGGTTCATCATAGCAACCACCGTAACGCTGTGGCTGGTAATCCGTAGATATGTTAGGGCTAAATGGGCGTTGATCCTGGGGATATGCCGACGCATGCAGGCTAAGTGGCCCTGATTCGACAGGCGAGGCATGGACTAGCCCATCAGACCCCAAGGAAACTCGGGTACAATGCCGAGGATAGTCGACACTCGAAGCCGATTCAGAGAGTCTATTGGCTGCTGGGCTTAAACTCTTTCCATGATTTTCCGTGCTATAGTCTCCGTCTCCATCGGATCCTGAATCTCGGTTATAGCTCGCAATAACCTCGTCGGACTCGTCAACAAAGTCGAATATACCTTATCAAGTGAGCATGAACCACTGACATCTGAGGGTGGCATACTTCTCTTGCTCGTACGTAGCCACACTTGATCATTCCCGAATAAAGAATCATACTTCGCACTTGATCCATGACGGAAACGAATCTTGCTCGCTGTTCGTTCACACACATCGCCTGTCTTCTGGCAGGCACGGCATGTCTCGGACTGGTCGTCGCCTGGTTTCCTGTTCAATCCAGAAACTACGCACAATGAGAGATGGCCTCTTACATCTTGAGTGTCGCTCTGTATTCGTCCGTCAGTAAAAGCAATATCGAGATATAGTGGACGACATATCTGCAATTGGTGCAAGTGGTCCTGGTTGACGTCTTTCCGGATGGCGTCGATATCATTGTTGAAATTCTCATCTTGAGGCAATTTATCCCGGCTAATAGGAACAATCATACGATTGTAAGGCAGTCTGCGCGCTTGGTAATGACGATAGGGTAAATTTGAGAAGCAAGGGCTGCGGTAGGGCTGGTGATGGGGTCAGCTTTCACGATTGGAGACTACCCCGCATCCGACCATGGCCAGGGAAGAGCACGGGTAACACCTATCATTGTACCTTCATCATCAGCCACTTCAGTCCAGAACTGGCCATATCTGTGCAAAGAATGTGGTGTGGTAACTCGAGGCCTCTTCGGCGGAATCCGTCGAGAAAGCGAGGCGATTCTGCCCTAAACGATCCCCAGTCTGGGCGGGCTCGGCAATCATTGGCCAAGATCTAAAATTTCCTGTTTGAGACAGCCCAGGTTGGTAATTTCCGCCGGAAATTCCCTCACCATACCATGCCCTAAGAGACTTGACGCAATGATTCTCCACAGCTCGTTTTATCGGCCGCAGATGTAGTCCTGAGCTCTCACAGGGTCTTCAGTCAGCTACGGGGTGTCCTCATCACCAATGTTTCCTTGCTAGAGTTTGCAATCCGAGGATGGAAGTTTGTGGTACTATGCGGGGTTGGGTCCTGGCTAGTGAATTATAAGTTGTGTCAAAATCAAGAGTAATGCTTTGTCGTTTTGTGTTGCCATCACTGTACTACACAATATGGCGCCGTTAAATCAGCCGTTCGATCAATTCATTCTGTTCGGCGACTCTCACGCAGATGTCCTCCAACCAGGACGATGGATTCGGATATCATCCAGCACTTCAAGACGGTGAGCTTCAGAGTTTCCCCGACTTTGGTCGCTCAATTAGCTAAACTTCACATAGCATATAGTCGGCGGCTAGATGTGATCAATCGGGGCTTCTCGTATGCTCTCATTAGACTTCTAACTTTTTATGTTGCATATGATCTAACCTCCTATGTGAAGTGGCTATACATCTGCTATGGCACTGAAGGTCCTCCCAAAATTCTTCCCCAGGCCAGAAACGGCGACCGTCCGATTTCTCGTACGTCCCTCCTACCAAGTCTTTATGAATCTGCAACAACCCCACTGACATAACACAGGCAATCTGCCTCGGCTGTAACGACGCCGTAATGGCCGGAATGTACCAACACACCCCATTAGAAGCCTACAAAAGCAATCTTCGCCGAATAGTTCAACACCCGGTTGTGAAAGCCCAAAACCCAAGAATCCTCCTGCTCACCCCACCCCCCGTCAACCAATACCAGCTCGAAGACTTCGACGCTTCCGAAGGCGTCCCACATCCAAGTCGGACAGCCGCACAGACGAGAAAGTATGCTGAGGCTGTTATTGAGCTTGGGAAGGAGCTAGATGTGCCGGTTGTAGATCTGTGGAGTGCGTTCATGAGATATATTGGGTGGAAGGAGGGTGATGTGTTGGTGGGGTCGAGGGAGGCCCCTAATAATGAGGGTTTTGAGGCGCTTTTTGCGGATGGTACGTTTTCTTTGGGCTTTTTGGTCCATATCTGGTGTCAAGGAAGTGAGGCTGACATGGATGGGCTGGACAGGATTACATTTGACAGGGAAGGCGTATAAGATTGAGTTTGATGCTGTGATGGAGGTGATCGAGCGGAACTGGCCGGATCAGGTTCCTGAGAAGTTGGAGATGGTGTTTGAAGATTGGAGAGAAGCTCCAATGTGATTAGCTACGCCAGAATATCTCTTGACCAGATCATGCACCTCGATGGTGGAAGTTATATTTCAGTGGCTCAGTAGATAAACTGTTGCTGCATAAAATCTGGTTTAAACCTACTTTTATAGCGTACAGTTGCTCCCGCAATCCTTGAATAAGTCCCAACCACCGATTAGTAGAGTCCTCTACAACCATCCTTAATATTTTATATAACTTGTAAAGATAATATCAAGATTATAAGTAAAATGATAGAAGTAGTTGCCTGCCTTGACACTCAGAATGGTATATCTATTAGGAGTGTAAATAGTAAATTTCCAGCCAATTATAGAAAGGAGGGGTAATCACGTTACCTTGGTTGCTGTGCGTATTTAATTTATATTTAGATTTGGTTTTAGCTGGTTTTCTTTCCATCTTCCTTCTTTATACATTTTGATCCCTCTTGACCTCTACACTTTCTCCCCTCCGAAAACTCCCATCTATCGCCATGGAAGCGCTTGTGGCCCAGGCCATTAGGGACACCACGACCTTTCGGAAGACGTCGGTGCCCTGGACCTTGGACGAGCCTTACGCCCAGACTTACTATGAATTTAACCCCGCAACATCCACTTGGATCTCCAAGTTGCCATCCGCCCTCGGAAACTCGAGTGGCAATGATAATGATAGTTCAGCCATCACGGCCATTGCGCTCTATACGTGGAACATTGACTTTATGCTTCCCTTTGCCGCAGCCCGCATGCGACCAGCGCTTGCACATCTTCATCAACTCACGCGCCTTCTCCCTCTAAATGTCTCCCCTGTTATTTTTCTCCAAGAATGTACCCCTTTGGACTTGGAAACAATTGCTGCGACTCCGTGGGTGCAAGCCAATTTCCATCTTACAGATATTGACACCGCCAACTGGGCCACCGCGCAGTATGGAACTACCGTTCTGGTCAGCAAGCTTCTGCCTATTACATCTGTATTTCGCGTCCACTACTCCCTCACGCGCATGGATCGCGATGCCCTTTTCGTAGACGTCTCTATTGGGCTCGAGGAGAAGCGAATTCGCCTTTGTAACACGCACTTAGAGTCCATGGCCCTTGACCCTCCATACCGCCCACCGCAGATGCAGCTAGTCGCTCAGTATATGCATCACGATGGGGTGTACGCTGCCCTCGCTGCCGGTGACTTCAATGCAATTCAGCCGTTTGATCGCACGTTGCATGTGGACAATAATTTGAAGGACGCATTCCTAGAACTAGGTGGAGAGGAGGACACCGAGGAAGGATATACATGGGGCCAACAAGCAGCAACAAAACAGCGTACGCAGTTTGGGTGTTCCAGAATGGACAAGGTTTATTTCCGAGGGTCTGTCAAGTTACTGAAGTTTGAGAGATTTGGAGCAGGGATCCTGGCCGAGGGGAACGAAGAAGGGAAGCAGATCGTGGAGCTGGGATTCGAGAAGCCCTGGATTACGGATCACCTGGGGGTTATGGCGATAGTGGATGTTTTACCTAGCACGAAGGGGCAGCTTTGAGTGGACACGATAGGATTGTTTTGATCATACTGTCTGGGACGGGTCATGAGTACGTTTTTTTGCTCTTGGCAGAATTGGTAGAAAGCTACGTGGTCTGCTGTATTCTTTTTCATGCTTCCTTTGGCATTGCCGGAGTCTAAGATCAAGCGAGCTTCATCATCAATGTGGCCACTCCGCCTGGGGCAAAGCCGCCACCCCTTGGGCCAGTGGTTTTGCGTTGCAACATGCAGTATAGTTCATCAGTTGTACGCCTTTGAATCTAACACAAGTTACATTCGGAAACCATCTCTAGCAAGCCAAGATGTCCCTAGGGATGGTTTCGCCCCATGGCTGGTTCACTCCTGCATGTGTTTGACACGTTTCAACGTTTGAAGTGACAGATCCTTTTTCCGTAGATTTGACCAAGAACCAAGGGGAGCAAGTACTCCAGACCAAAGCTAACATCACCGAGGCCCACACCGTGCGTTGCTACATCTTCGCTCCGTGCATCAAGGGCTTTGGCAACCAGCTCAACACTCAGCTACTAAGAATGTCTGATGCAAATTAGTTGAGTGATGGTTGATTATGGAACAAGTCCCACATAAGCCTATAATCCCACCCGGAATCAGGAATCTATGGTGAGATACCGGCATTATCTAGATGTAGCCCTTACTGTTGTTGAATGTTGGCATTGTTCAAAACTTGCGTTTGTGCTGGAGGAACTGGCCCCGCCAGACAATCCAAGCCGACATTCCCTCGGACCACAATGCGTTTCTTCAATTATATACTTGTTTAATACTACGATAAGTGTCCCGTCATAAGAGGTGGTGAGCGTGTAGGGATGAGAGGATTGGTCCAAGCAGGCATGAGTAAATTGGGACTACATACGTCATTAGGACACAGGAAAGATATTGCAGAGATTGGACGTTTATGGCTTGATTAGTGCAACCTGAATTCGAGAAGGGGTACATATAATATTAAAGTACTCTCTGGAGGCAAGCCGAGCTAAGGCAGTTGGGCACCAGATAACATGGCTCGAACCCCCTTTTAAGGGCACTCGTAAACATGCACGCCATAGAAACTTTGAAGATTTATAACTCGAAATGCAAGCACAAATTCATTAGGATCCTCAAACATGTGGCAATTCGGATTTCCGAAGAACCTAGGAGCGTGTATCTCTTCAAGAGATAGAACTAATTACCAGGAATTACTCCAGCTTGAACACCTTCACTTGGACATTTCCCAACGCTCCATTTTCCTGGTTCCAATCACCCACATTCACAAGATAAGAATTGTTGGTATTCATAGCCTGAAAGGTGTTGGTATTCGACTGGTAGGGGCTATCGAAATGGAGGGTGGTGATCCTGGTGTCCCCGTCCATTAGGTCTAGGTAGCCTTCTGTGCCGACATCGATGCCATATCTGCCGCAAGCACACACAGACTGAGTAGTATGTGGCTCTATGACAATCTTGTTGATTTGGCCAGCGCTGAGCTCCTGGTCTTTGTCGCTACAAACATGGAACTTGCCACTAGTTGGGAAATCGGGGTCAGAATAAAACATTTCACAGGCTGCAGGCGTAAGCGAATTATCACATACTCGGTCACTCTTGCATTAGCAATTTTAATTTGACCTTTCTCGAATAAGCTTTGAATATCAATTCTAACCCATTGGCTGTAGGCGCGAGTATCCACTTCCGACATATTGTCTCGTTCAGCGGGCAATAGGGAGAGAGGTAGAAGTAAGTGTATGAGGACTTTACTCTGAAAAGAAGTATTTGTGAAATATATCGGTTTGAATGATTACAACTTTCAGTTGTGTTCCAGAGCGAGGAGTGAGGACATCCTGGGTTTTTAACATTGGCTCGGAGCCCCCCCTGTAAGAACTCATTACTTGATGTTTCCGATATTGGTCTGTCCACATGGCGGGAAAATCAAGTACACGAGAGATCAAAAATGCCTCATTGACATCATATTCGCCAACAGTAAATGGGATACAAGGCAAGGTGGCATGCTTGATGCACAAGACAGGGCCCCTTTCCACCATCTGTGTCGAACGTACCCTAACGTATGATCGGAATATCAAGATACCCGCTGTAACGAACAGACATGTAGGATGTTACTAATGTAAACACATTGTTAAAGCGTCAGCCCAGAGTATAAGACCGGGCTTTCCATGCATTTGACATCACTCGCTGCAAGTATGCCCTGATTTACGGAATGATGTAGCGCGGAATGCAACGTCCCTAGCAGCTGACTCATGCACGCTGGTCACTCTAAACAAGAAATGGTAGTTAGGTATACAAAAGATTTACGCCTGAATCTTGTTTGACGCATCGTTCATTCTGTGATTAGTTCAATCCAACTCTAGGCATAGTCAACCTAGAGCAACTTGCCAGAAAATTCGTTAACTTGGCGTCCTTTAAAACATGGGGCTTGCGGAGCCCACCTCTTGATTTTTGACAACTGTATTCTTGGCGCATATTTTTTATTTTAGCCCGCAATACTTTTCTGTCACAGATCTAATAGCAATCTCACCTGATGACTGAATAGTATATGCTTGCACTTGTGTATGGATAGATAACTCGGTTATCAAACAGGGACGTTGGATTCTATATCCGCTGGCTTCTCAATAACATATAGTGAAACTGGGTGATTAACTAATTCTATACAGAGGATCTAAGGGCCTCTTGGGTATGAATTAGTACTTCATTAGGAGTAGCAAAAGAGTAAGAATAACTATTCTATCTATATAATATCTACTATCTGCCTTGCTGCCTACGTATCCTTCCTTTATTAATAAGCCCTCTGTCACGGAGCCGATGAGGAATCGGCCCGTGAAGCCTGCAGAACCCTCGGGCCCCTATATCCTGGTTCATCGTGCATAGGCCCTGGTCCCGGTCCTTCCTACATAAGACCTCGGATCCCCTACGGTTTAGAATCGGTCGGAGAGATTACTTGACATTTCACCGACTCTTCAGCGGGAAAGACTTGCTGAATAGAGAAGGATCCTAAAGCTATTTAAGGAGGTCTAAAGACATAGATAGAGGAGACAAGAATCAATCTCTTTGTATTCGTTCTACTACGCAGTTAATAATAGATATTTCTTCTTCTCTCCGCCTACATTTCCTTACCTAGTTGACAGGCTATCTACCCTGTATAGTAGATCATCCGTTACAATAAGCCTGTCCAATAATGACTGGTAGCTGCATGATCGTTTTCTTGTTTCAGCAATAGGCTACCAACTGAAAACTAGCTCTCTTGTGTAGGGCACACTTCTCATAGTATCTAGCTTAGCGAGATAGTTGATTCTAATATGGAAATGTATAAGTCTTGAAATAATTTGGATAGTATTGCTAATGTGTTTGCTGACTATCTCACTTCCAGTACTTATATACCTCGCCTATACTTTACAGTACAGACAATTACAATTTAGCTCCTTTTAGCAATATTTGTCTCTATTTGGAGAGACTCCAAACTTCTCTTGAGCCTATAGTTAATTGTTGAATAATGGTACTTTGTCAATCTATAGATATAATCCGTAGCTTATAAGAGACTCTAGTATTGTGATTTATATATAACAATACTTAAAGATTTTATGTGATATAAATCTACAATAACAACAATGGGTTTATAAATCTTGCCTCCGCAGGAACTGTACCAATATATTCCAAAGCCTTGTCAGTAGGCATCCTATTCATACGGCAGAGATCGGCGTTAGATAGCCTGGGTGTATTGGTCTAGATATATGCTCTGTATAGATTCTAATTTTGATCCGAGACCACAATACCCATCTGATTGGATGTTCCCTGGCACCCACTCTGTTAGTATTTGAAAATCCTCGTATATTGATAAAGATCCATATGATCTTTCACGTCCACAGGTGTTGGCCGCATATGGAGAGAAAACATGACATTCTGAGGTTGACGGAAGTGGGTCACAGAGCGTGGGAAAGCGGAGGAGCTGATTAGATCAACGAGATGAAATAATACTCTAGGCCGCATCGTGGTACTATGGAACTGCCACCAACAGAAAATTGTCAATGACAGCAACACACAAGAGATAACTAGGCTGGGATTGTTCAGTACCCCTCATGTGAGAAAGATGTGGACCGCGGTGCTACTTCCGCAGGTCTCTTTCGCCTGTTATACATGGTTCACTTGTGGAGCCTATGGGCGTAAAAAAATCAAACGCAACATGGAGAGTGTTTAAATTCATCCAGCACAAGGTAGTATAGAAGAACTGCTGGGGCCTTTTGCACCATGTCGAGGGTTGTGGGTGGTGCTCAGGCTATATACGAAATCCGCACCTTCGGGGTCATACGAATCAACCTCCTATCTAGTGCAGGATAATAATTGAAGGCCGCGATTTTGTCCTTGCACTATAACCAAGAAATACAAAAGCACGGAATCTGACAAAACGCTGCTCTAATTATTGACGAAGACGGAATTTTACCCGTTGCTACCTAATCAACCTCATGAACCCCTCGAATCGACAGGAGAACGCTCAATTAATATAGGCTATATTCTTGGCCTCCTGACAGAGAGCCTATTGCCATTCGAATTCTAAGTTCGGCGACGGAAGGTTAGATGGCAGTCATCCTGTAGTTCAAGTTAGCATTAAGCCGACGAACATGTAGACACAACCGTACCTTTGGAAATATTGTAGCAAAAACCTTTATATCCTCCGACTCCGGCGTAGTATGGTGCTCCCAGTCTAACGCCAGGCTCGCCTTCCCAATCATGGCCATCAGATTCATCTGGGCATAGGCCTGTCCCAGACAATAATGCGGTCCTGTTCCAAACACCAGGAAGTTCTTCGGATGCTGTTCAGCTGTCCCGGTGATCCACCTATCCGGATCGAATGAATCGGGATTCGGGTAGACTTCGGGGTCGTGAGTGGCAGGCCAAACGGACGGGAGAATCATTGATCCCTTTCCAACCGTGTAAGTCTCGGTAATCCGGAAGTCCTTCTTCGCAATGTACGGGACCAGGATCACTGGTGGGCGGTAGCGTAGGGTCTCTCGGACTACTGCGCGCGTATATGGTAGTCTCTCCAACAGGTCCATGGACAACCGCCCTTCACGATCCCCGTTGCGGGCCTTTAAATTCTCTTCGCGAAGTCGGTTTAGGATCTCTGGGCGGTCAGCCATAAGCTGGAAGAGCCAGGTAGCGGCAGCACTGTTGGCGTCTTGCGATGCAAACAAGAGAGTAAAGATAGTTTGTGCAATCTCGTAGTCAGTGAATTCACGAAGCAACTGAGCCGGCTTCTCACATGGAACCCCTGCTGCTATGTTCCTCCTGTATGTTGCCGAGTCTTGCTGGGCTTTAATCCAGGCATCCATAATACAGGTGATCTCACCACCCTCTGCCATGTGTAATCTGCTTTTGGAAGCACATTGGGTAAATTCTTGAAGGACCAGGTCGGCTGCCTTTTTCCCGTACCAACCCTTTGTGAATGGAAGGATAATCGGGAAGTTGACCAGTTCAAGAGCAGCAGTGATGAGATAGTAGTCGTGGGCGATCTTGTCTAGTGCGCGTTCGGAGATATAATGGCCCGCAAATGTGCGACAAGATACAGTACACATGAGCTTGCGGAATTCAGGCATCCAAGGAAGTGGTTTGTACTTGTTAGCTGTCGACCGTGCGACAAAACGCTCAAAGTAGGCATCAAACACCGCTTCTTGACGCGGGAGATAGCTAGCCAGGGCAGAGCGTGTGAAGAGGAGATTCAAGCCTTTGCGAAACTCTGCATGGTTTTTCCCATCTAAAAATACCCAGTTGTCCTTCCCTAGAAGCTTGTGTGCGGAGTCAACCACACAGGGCTTCACGAACGAAGGGGAATTGAAGATCTTGGACGACATCTCGCGTGTCGAAGCGATGACAACAAACCTATGACAGTCAATTAGGTACCGCTTCCCTTTTCCCTATGATAGCTCAAGGATAGCTTACTTGTGGAAAATGGACACGCAACTCAACTCCCCGCTCCTCCATTTGGCCATATATCCCTCGAATCTTGGATCCATTGACTCCAGGAATGGTCCCATGAAGGGGATCTTCCATGATGGGCCAGCAATTGAACCCTTCTGCCGGATGTATTTCACTAGACATGAGATTGTCACATTATCAGCCACTTGCCTAAGGTTCGCTGGTACATGTACAGAACTTACGCTGATCATAGGCCACAGCCGCGATAAGAAGCGTGAATAGGAACTTCCAAATTGAGATACCGCTGCCAACCGACCCGATGATCCCAGAAAACTGGTATACTGGAATGGCAGGCAATCCATTGCTAGAACAAAACCCCATGGTTAGGTGGTTCCAATGGGGGAGACAAAGTAACGTTGGAGTATTGGACTTGAAAAAGGTTTCGGCGGTAGATGGGTATATATCTGGCACTTGCCAGGAGAAATTGATGTAGAACAGGGAGTGATAAGACGCTATGCCACGAGGTGCCCATGCTTCAGTACCTCTCTCAGTTTCTACTTGACTACCACCTCCTTAAGTACGAAAGGTTGACTGATTACCTGGTATTCTTTCCGATTTGTTTCAAGGCAAGACGACCCCTTGGTTAATGGTGCAGTATCACAGGAACTGGCGTCTGGCCAGTAATAGACCGAGTGAAATTACCGCTCCTGCAGGAAAGGCAGACTAACTCGTATTCTAGCTGTGTTAGAACTTAGCGATCAACCCGAATAGACTTTGGCGTAATTTATACATCGTTTTACCTCCCCCTATCGTATCATTAGATGATTGGCTGGGTGGATATTATTTCCATCTAAATCTATGGCAGCCCAAGGGCAGGCAAAT